ACACGGTTCAGTTGTTTGGTTTTGTGTTTTTTCATGAAACATGGGGGATTAATATATATTCTTGTTTTTTGTGTTTTTTTTTATTGCTCTTATTATTTCACTTATTTGTGATTAATATATATTCTTGTTTACTGTATGTATTATATTATGATTAATCTGGCATGCTATTTCTATAAAAAGTATGTTTTCAAAGGTTATATTTTAAAAACTAATATAAATAAATTTGGGTATTTGATAGTTATATATGTATGTATTTTTTGTTTACGATCAGTTATTCTAATTATATTTATGATGTGGGTTTTGTTGTTAAGTCTCACCGGTAAGAAATGATTGGGCTCAGAAAATGAAAACTGAAACCTCTTCAGTTCATCCATTCTGCCATTCTCCGAATAAAAAAGCCCACCAGAAAATAATTGGGCTCAGGAACTATGGGCCTCTAAATCGTCTTTAGGCTCTGCCATGAATCATACATTCTGCAGAATCATATTAATTATTGAAGTGCAGAAATTGACCATGCGCTTTGCAGCTTATTTTGTTTTAGAGTAATGCTACAGATACTACACAGATCAATTTTTTGAATGAACCTTTTTTAAAAATGCTTATAATCCTTTAAGTTTCATTCTATTTGTTGTCTTAATTTATCCTGAGAGAGAACTGCTATTTGAATCCATCTGTGAACACAGTTTGATTCGATTTGCAAAAGCTAGAGTTTTCCTCGTACGTTTATATATGCAAGCCGAGCTCGAACAATAAATATAAGTTGTTTATTAATTGAATTGAATTGAGTTTCAAGCCGAGCTCGAACAATTAATAGTATAAGTTGTTTATTAAATGAATTGAATTTAGTCTTAATTATAAGAAAATATGTAACTAATTAGTCTTAATTATAAGAAAATGAAAGACAGAATGAAACAAAGTTATTTAAAATAAGTGACGAATAAAATAAATTGTGTATCCATATATCCATATTATACTAACAATGGAGATTGTTATATATCTTTCTTTGGTAAAACAATAAAATGTGGATGATATATGTTCACTCATGTCCATTTCCCATACAGCCTGTCTTCATAAATGATCCATTAAATGCCATAGCACAAACAATGTATTAATTGCACTCAAAATTTAGCGCCAATGTAAGTCCCTTAAAAAAGGACAAAAATAAAAATAAAAGGAATAATTCTTTTGTTCCCCCTTAATACCAACTTCTTGATATATATTATAAATAATTGGACACAAAATCATATAGATGGCTTTGGAGTTTGGGGACTTTTACAATTACAAATTACAAGTAATTTTGAGATTTTACACAATAGTCTTCGTTCAATATGCACAAAATTAAAAAATTAATGTTAAAATATTTTCTTCTTAAGAAAAAAAAAAGAAGCACAAGTAGCGTACACAAAATTAATTGATTTTTCTTTATAATGTTAACAAACTTAGTTATTGTTCTCATGGATTAAAATCACATCTCAGTTATTTTTCTTTATAATGTTAACAAAATTAGTTATTTTTCTTTATAATGTTAATTGATTTTTCTTTATAATGTTAACAAACTTAGTTATTGTCTAACGGTTAGATAAATATATTCTTTTAATATTTATGCACTTTTAAAATTAAATGTCATACGTACTTTAAAGTTTAAACAACGACATAAACAAAAGTATGACATTTTAAGGTAATATGCATGCTCTTTTTGTTAAGTATAACATATCAGTCCGTCTAACGTTTAGACCGTCTTACACAAGAATTTGTGTTGGCTGAAGCTAATAGATTCCATTTTTGTGAGGGGAATAAGATTTCATATACACAATATCTAATGCCTCATTCTATATGCATAATGCATATCATCAAAAAAAATAAAGATAATTTTAAAAAAAAAATGCATGAAGGGCAGAATTGTACTTTGAAGTCCTTTGTGAATAACACACACATCGACCACTAGAATTGAAAGTTTTAAAATAGCACCATAATTTTGAACTTGCATTAAATGTAGTCCTTCTAATAAAATCGAGTTAAGCAGTATTGTCTTGTAATTTTAAATTTGAAGGATTTGGATTAATTTTGGCTGTAAATTTAATAGGACATATGTGTGTGTGTGTGTGTGTAGGTTGATTTTTCAATCAAAGTTGTAGTCAAAATGGTTGAGCAAGACCGCTATCTATTAATTCTAATTATTCTACTTTTGATATATTTCCCCTAAGCCACACGATTGCTTTCAATTGTTATAATTCCCATAAGCCACAGGATTACTTTTGAAATTTTCACATGAATGGATGATAATTTGATTTAATTGCATCTAAGTTAGACTTGCATTACTATAAATTATTTGTTGTTGGTCCTGGTTGAGTGTTTTTTACTACTATACGAGGCCTCTTTCACTTTCATTGTAGGATATGAAAGATTAAAATTATCCAAGATTAGCTCACTTTAACTTCGCATGATTAGGATAGAATTTATCTTATGTGGCGTACATGTGGCATGTGGGTCCCACAGACTTATCCCAAGCCCACTTTGACCATTTTGCCCTCATTTTTGCCTGTGAAAAGACAAGAATATCCCTCAATGTCAGATTATCTACCATGAATTGAAGGAAGTTATATAATCTCATTTAGTCCATGATAGTAATGTTTGACTAGTTGCAGAAACTTGCATCCTATAATATAAATATTAGATAAAATGCTGACGTGTGTGGTTGGATTACAATGTCCAATCCCATCCAATAAAGTAAATGAGGCCCGAGTGTTTTAAATATATTACATATTAGTATAGCTAATATTTTAAATAGCGTACTGCACAGTCATACCGGATAAGTCATCGGTATGTGCTTCAACATGAACTAACATCTATTTTATAGTTTTTAATTAATATTTGAAAAGTTTTGGAGGGAGTAGGTAGAGTACGAAATTGTGTAACGACACATATATTAAAAGTGAAAGCGATAATTTAAAGAAATTAGTCGTCTGAGAGCATCCGACTAACCTCAGAGCACTTTCATTAGTATATAAATTACGAGCACAATGTATAATTTGAGATTACAAGTTAACGAGTCCCTCCTAAACCTACCAACATTATATGAGAAACTACTAACTATTTCACTGGGCACAACGTAGACTAAAATAACTATATATAGAAACACTCCAATCTGATGATGGTACTTAATTTCTAAAAATCTAAGAGTTACGAAGATAAAAAGTTTCAGTTATTCAGATGCAAGAACGCAAAACCGAATTACTGAATAATTAACATACGAAAATATAAAAGAAAGCCCACGAACTCTCAGAGAATAATTCATGAACATTACACTCAATAAGATTAGATCCTCTTCTATGTTTGGAGATATTCAGAACCTTCATTCCTAAATCATTCAAGAACAATCTTTCCCAGTTTTATTGATCCTTGAAATCTTGGTTCCTTCAAATCTTGGTCAAGATCTTCACTCGGCTTGATTCTGATCCTCTCCATAATGTGTGTTAGATGTTCATGCAAGTAGGAGAATATAAACAAGATATATATTATCTAATGCTTATTATAATAAATAATATCAATATATAGTAATTAATAATAACTTCCATTTTAATTTATTTTACTTGCCTAATAAGAAAATCATCAAGAATATTATAAATTAAAATAAGTATTATAAATTAATATTTTACATTATGAATTAATATAGATAATGTATAAAGCTAATTTTAATATTACTAAATTTTATAAAAAATAAAATAAAAATACAAACAGACTAGAAGTGTAGCACATTAAATTTATGCAAAAATATAAAAAATACTAAAATGATTAAAAAAAAGATGGCATGATCGCATTTTAGCCGGTATTTCCGAAATAACTAGAATTTGGTATTTTGAGGAAAACACCATTATTAAGGTTTACCAACTATAAGACTTATACTTAAGTAGATCATTATCATTTGTCTTATTTTGAGGAGCTTTTAATTTTTCAACTTAAAATGTAAATTGATACAACCTCCATATTTTTAAATGAAAATATATATTTAAAATATGTTTGAAATATCGTATTATTTTTTAAAAGAATAATACTTAAGTGAAAATATATATACATATTGAAAAAATATAAATAAGTTAAGAATTTTAAATGCAAGAAAAAGATCATATAAATATTTTCCTTCAAAAGAAATAGGAATTTAGAGGGGTATAATTGGGACCACCATATGGCCAAGACAAACAATTGGATATTCTTTTAATTGCAGGCAAAACTTAAAGGCAACCTTTTTCTGTAAGTTGGTCCATTATCCCAATTACATCCTATGATGGCACAGTGTCACCAATATTCAATGGTTGATATTTGAACACATTATTTATAAGTTTCTGCACATTTATTAGTTTATGTTTTAGAAATGTGTGACAAATCGAGAAAGATTTTCCCTGTTTGCATCTGCTTCATTTTCTCCACTTCATATATTTTGATAGTCCCATACTTTTCCTTGTCCTATAATTATAGTTAATTTCTTATATCAAGGTGTGATTTTTT